TTTATCAAGTAAAAAAATGCACCACTACAACTTCATGCCTCCAACAAATATACCGTTATGCAAAGGAATGCAATCATGAATGAAAAAAAAATAAAAAATGCATGTATGCAAAAATTCGTGTAACAACGATGATGCAACGTGGAAGTTGCAACACGATTCCTATTCTAGTTCAAACAATGCAAAAATCGAGAGATTTCCTTAAGTTAGAAAACCCCTCACAATCTAATGTCTTGGTGAATATATCGGCTAAATGATTCTCGGTCCCTACGTACTCAATGCAAAATATGTATTTCTCAACCAAATCCCGAATAAAGTGATGTCTTATATCTATGTGTTTTGTGCAAGAATGTTGAACCGGATTTTTTGAAATATCAATTGCACTCTTGCTATCACAATCTACGGTTAAGAAATCACTATGTCGACAATATCTCTCAATCATTTGATTTATCCGTAAAAGTCGACAATAAGGAAATTTTGTTTTCAAATCATGCAAAGACACCATATTATTCACAAGAATTCTCTCAAAAAGATTATCATTACAACTACTAAAAACACCACACAATTTTCTTACCATTAGATGAAACAAACTACCATTTGTTACCTCACCAAAGGATCGTGACAAAGGATTAGATTGCCGAACTACTTTTCTCTGATCAGGAACATCATCATCAGATCTTGTCTCAGCCTCAGAAACGGTATTTTGCTCGTCAGAGATACGTGTCGCTACAGATGTTGTGTCTGGTGCTGTGTCAGGTGTCATGACATCTGGGGCGACATCAGGGACAACACCTGGAACAGCACTACATAGTGGAAAGTCCATCAAGTCCCGAACGTCATCTTCAGCATTTTTGACCCGATAACAGTTTTGGGTAGTTCGTACACCTGCCAAAGTACATGAATTAGACTCATCAAACACTTCACAAGACTTACTATCAAATTTAACATGGAGATTATCATCACAAAGTTGGCTCATGCTAATCAAGTTAGCCTTAAGTCCATCAACCAAAAGCACGTTATGAAGCTTTGGGAGACCATCAACATTGAGTGTTCCCCGTCCTATGATTCTTCCATGTTCGCCTCCTCCGTATGTAACACGCCCACCTTCATAAAGTTCTACATTGGATAAGAACTCACGAGTGCCGGTCATGTGACGCGAACACCCGCTATCAAAGTACCATGAACCTGCAATATTAGACTTCAAAGAGGTACGAATAACATTGCATTTCAACTCAGATTTTGGAACCCAAACAAACTTTGATTTACTCTTAGTTCTAGTTCCGTGATTTATGGGCATATTACGGGACACGGGAGGCACCACTAGTACAAAAGACCTATCAAATGAATGCAATTTATAACAATAAGGTCTAATGTGCCCGGGTGCATGACAATAATGGCAAACATACCGACGCCTTCGTTGTTTAGTATTCTTAAAAACCTTAGGCGTGGATTTTGAAAACTCACCTGCTTCCTCCGATGGACGAACAAATATAGTAGGCTTAAAACCAAGTCCTGCTTTTTTATGATTATGTTCAAGAGCAGCTAGGACATCCAATTGGCTCTTACCAGTGTTAAGTCGTTGGAAGGTCTGACGGGAGTATTCAAGTTCCTCTCTTACCTTCACCAACTTTTGGTCATGACCAGAGATTGTCACCTCCAATTGGGTTATGGTTGATTTTAATGCATCATTCTCCTCTTCCGATTTTTTAGCCTCTGACTTCATCCTCTTATTCTCATCATTTAATTTATTGTTCTCTTTCTCGAGCCTATCCGCTTCCCATACGGCATCTATAAAGCGTTTATGAAGTTCCACGTACACTTCTTCATGATCTTCAAACCTAACAAATTGAAGGCTACTCGGAGGACCTAAATCCCTGCCTGAAGCATCACAAAACAAGGAGTTAAAGCAAAAAATTCAGAATTTTCATTTTCATACCTGCCAGGTGTCATGACACTTCGGGCGACGCCTCGGCCGACACCTGCTGGATCAATTTGTTTGGGCCTAAATTCACTGACAGTGGTCACAAAGGCAGCATCTCCATCATTTTCAGCTTCACTTTCAGAGGATCCGTCATCAAATTCTTCATCATCGCTCAAAGTGGCGCTGAAGTTCAAGCCTCTTTTGCGCAAGGTATTAGCACACTCATTTGCATAGTGCCCATACCCTTTGCAAGCATTGCATTGGACGGTCTCGAGTGACTTTGGAGTGAACTTTCTCCCATCATTGAGTTTCGCCTTTTCACCGATTGGATGCGATCGATTCGAATGAGGTGGAGTAAATGGCCTTGGCATTCGGGACCTCGAGGCTTGGGAGTTGTTTTGAGAATTTTTTCTCTTTAGCAAAGATGTGAAGCGTCTCGTCATGTGTGCAACTCCTTCTTCATCAAACTCATTTTCCTTCATATCACGAACTAGATTCTCCAAGTTATCACCATCTTTAGTGACCGAATGAAGGGCGATCCCTTTTCCTTTCCCGAACGATGCACTTTTTTCTTCAAGATCCTGTACCTCAAGATTCATTTCGAACGTCTTGAGAGTGCCAACAAGGTCATCGAATATAATGGCTGTCACATCCTTCGAGACATCAAGCGCCGTGATCATCATATTGAAGCGCTTTGGAAGAGATCTCATCACTTTTGCCACGAGTTTTTCATTCGAGATCGGTTCTCCAAGAGAGTAGCACTCATTCGCTATATTCATCAACTTGGCCGTGTATGACGAGATATTCTCATTTTCGAGCATCCGAATTGTCTCGAATTTTGCTGCAAGGAGTCGCAGCCTCGTTTGACAAACACTCTTCGAACCCTCACAATGACGTTGCAAGGTGTCCCATGCATCTTTGGCAGTAGTGCACATGCTAATTAAGCGAAACATGTTCTCATCGACCGTGCCAAAAATTGCATTGAGTGCTTTTGAATTGAAGTTGGCCAACGAGGTCTCACTCGCACTATACTAAGCTTCATTTTTCTCGTGTTTCACCCCTTCAACTTCTTTGGTAGGAGGCTCCCATCTGATAAGTACAGATAACCAAGCACGTCCATCAATGGATTTAATGTAGGACGTCATACGCATCTTCCAAATGGTGTAATTTGAGCCATCGAGAATTGGAGGCCGAAAAAGCGAAGTTCCGTTGAACTCCATGTGTACCTATCAAGACAGAATCACACTTATTAAATTAAGTGACCCGCTCCGATGCCACTTGTTAGAATTTTAGGTACGTAAATATCCAGATTTTGACACAAAGATTAGAAATTAAAATACGCAGCGGAAAATAAATATACAAACGATTCAAAAAATTAGTCTACAAGTTAAAATACTTGTAGACTAAGGTCACATGCCAAAAATTCACTAGAACAAATCAATTGTAGAATTTTTCATCCAATCCAAAAACATCTACTGAACTACGAAAAACAAAACGCGAGTTTAAACGAGATGCTCTCTATCAAATCAAACTATCAAAAAGCGAATAACAAAATAATCCCAAGAGAATGACGAATGAATAGTAAAAGAGCTCATCTTGCTCGTCCGTGTTCTTCCAAAAAATTGCCGCACGCTAGTGATCCACGCTGATGCTTCAGTAAAAGGAAAACAAAGAGGTGTATTGTTTTTGTGTGTGATTAGTCCTGCGCAGAAGCTTCCAAATCGCAAGCCCAAAATCTATTTTTTATTTGTTGCTTCTTCTTTTTCTTTTAAAACCACACATATGCACTAGCCTTTGCTTTTTCCTCAAGTCTTGACCAATTTCCCGCAGCCGTCTAAAATCAAGAGTCCCCAAAATTCAAAAATCCTTGTTGCCTTTTATTTCTTTTCTTTTCCTACTGATACCTGTTCAGATAAGGAAAAAGATTAACACAATATTATTGTACTAAAAATAAACACCTAATATAAAATAAAATATATATAAATACACAAAAAAAAAATTAGAAAAGCAAAATAAAAGATATGTTAAAAATACATAAAATATGTATTTTTTTTTTTTGGTCGAAACGATAGATGTACTATAGATAAGCGCACAAAAGTGCGAAAATACAAACTGGGAGGCTAAACCGAGGTCCGCCTAGACTCGCTAGCAAGGCTAGAATGAAAACGACTCAAACACCAACACCAGGACGAACAACGCAACATAACACAAAGCCCTAACTATGGAACGACCTCAAACGAGGTAATGTGGAACGACCCCAAATGAGGTAATGTGGAACGACTCCAATGAAGTAATCCCTCTCACAGGGGCCAAATGACCCAAACCAAAGAAACGACTCCAACGCAACACAACACAATGAACAAGAACAAAAAGAAAAGAAACTAAAAGACACATTCAAGCCCTTCCACATCTAGCAAAGGAGATCGACCCACAGAGAACGATCAATCCAAGGAAAAAAACCAGGTCCCGGGCACTGCTACCGAAACTGCGAAACTGCCTATACAAGCAGCCGAACCCGAAACACCAATCTTGCCTTAGAACGATCCACCCCAACCGAGAGAGCAACTACACCAACATCCACCCCAACAGAGACGCCTGGACCAAGCACAAGCCAATCACCGAACCACGGAGCCTCATCAGTCGCAGCAAGAGAGAAACCGAGACAGGAGAGGCAAGAGGAGGGAACACACCAACAATTGAACCCGGTGAAGAACAAGTCCATAACCAGGCAGCAATCAAGAGTTTGCCGCCTCCAACCGCCATTCCGCCGGCGAAAAAGAACAGAGCAAACTGACCAGCCTCTGTACTCCGCAGCAAGAACGAGGAGAGACCCGCCCAAGAACCCAAGACGCCCAGCCAGAGAAAAGGGTGGAGAGTGCCGAACGGCCCTCCAGCTCCGGCTTCTACGACTAACGACGCCATAGCCGCCGAAGCACCGTCGTACCTATAGACCGTCCGACCAGCCACACTACGGTCCGTCGGCAACCAAGAGAAAAGCCAAACCGAACCCCAACAGAGAAATAGGGCCGCCCCCAGACCCGGCAAAAGAAATGAATTGAAGGGCCTTACTCCGCCAATCGAGACCATCCAGCTAACGACACCACCAATTACTGGACCAATCGCCGACAGAAGAGCTCGACACCTACAATATGTATTCAACAGCTAGCCCGTAAATTAATTAATATATTTTCCCACTAATACATTATAGTAATATAAATTTAATTTTAGTATCTATATTTATTCTTTGATATTAGAAAATAAAAAAACTTTACTTTTTTTATATCCTCGTATAATACTCAATTTTATTATAAAATTTGTTGTAATATAATGTCATTATTATTAGGGTAAATTGCAGTTTTGATACCCAAACTAAAGTTCATTTCGGAATCAGTACCCGTTTTTTAACATTTGCAAAATCAATACCCAAATTTTTATTCTGTTAGCAACGTTAGTACCCGGCCGTTAGAACTCCGTTAAATTTCCGTTAGTTGTTAACGGAAGTAGGCAAAATGGAGGAAATTTATCTTTTTTTTGGCTCATGATGAAATCTATATACAGAAGACATTTGTACCATTTTTTTTCAAAACAAATGCAACCTCCACTATTTATAAGAATTTTTTTGGATAAAATCGATTTATTTTTTGAAAAAAATATAATAAATCGAGAAAAATGAGAAGACATGGTTTCTCTTCTAGTTCAAGCAGTATATATTGGAATAATAATTTTCCAATAACAAAAATACAAATTTCCTTCTATTTTGCCCACTTCCGTTAACAACTAACGGAAATTTAACGGAGATCTAACGGTCGGGTACTAACGTTGTTAACATAATGAAAGTTTGGGTACTGATTTTGCAAATGTTAAAAAACGGGTACTGATTCTGAAATGAACTTTAGTTTGGGTATCAAAACTGCAATTTACCCTTATTATTATTTGTAATAGTTATAGATGTGGACTTCTTCTTCTTCTTCTTCTTCTTCTTCTTTTTTTATGTAATGGAAACATTTAATGTACATTAACATTATTTATTAATGTAACTTATTCAAATTATGTAAATAAATTTAAAATAAAACATCGCGTACAAATATTTTACAAAATATACACCAATGTTTTTTTTCAGAATTTATTTTATTTATACTAATTAAACATCTTTGATTTAGTAATTTCCAAAAACTAAATCCCTTTTATAATTTACATCATAAGGCTTTATTGTTTATTCAACATCTATACTTATATAATGTTGATGGACGTTTCCGATCAACGGTTATTCAATTTATATGCAGTTTAATTCAATGGAGGGAGAAAATGGACGAACTGGAAATCATATTATCGAAGGAATTAATTCAACCAATCTTGCTGTAAAGACTACAAAAAGGGATTTTATCAGAGAGAAATACAATTGCTTATTTTTTAAAAGGTTTTTTCTTAGCCCCTTCTAAGATGACAAGAATGAGCTATTTATACTATCCTCTGCTGGGCACTGTTGAGATACTGTTCATGCTGTCCCGTTGTACAGTGTGAGGGAATGACAGGCTCTGTCAGGCATTAAATGCCGTCAGATTTTTAGTCATGATGACCCCTGCTGCATTAAAAGCCAGCATGAGGGCATTAAATGCTTGTCAGGTCTAGCGTAGACCCTTCTTTGACGTTACTGGCCTGTGAGAAACGTCCCGTCGGCACGTTTTCGTCCCACGTTTCCTACTGACTCTCTGACCGACCTTCGCCATCTGCCTTTTCCTACCCGACCTGTGACCCATCCGTCAGCGCTTGCCCCCACTTGGCCTTCGCCTTTTATGGGATGGGGCGCCTTGACTCGTACTCGTCCACTTGACTCAGAACCTTGACTCGTATCCGTCCACTTGACTACCGCTAATGCTGTTTCTAACCTGGCGGCCCAACTCGGCGCCAATTTGGTCCTCGTCCCCAGCTGGCCCGTTCCCGTCCTTTCCCGTTTAAGCAATTGAGTCAATTTAGATATCAACATATAATAAGACATCATATTTACTATATTTAGTAGTAAGAAAAGTCAACATTAATTAATGCATCCTATTTTTAGGTTAGTATTTTATCTACTTATTTTATTCATTTATTTTCCTCCATTACATTGGTTTAATCAAAAAATTCACATAAAATCTATTTTCTCAAAAAATTGTACGTAAAATCCAAAAAAAGGCATATTCGATCGGTAATAAAAGATTTGATCGGTCAAAGTTATATCTTTATTTTACATCACCCATAAATAAAGCAAATATCAAGCCTAAATTAAAGGATTGTGTATTGGTTTACGTAAATACATATAATTTTTAAAGTTTGTATATATTAAAAATTCCTTCTTATCTTTTATCACCGATATGGAAATCTATTCAGATTTGTTTCTCTAGATGTAATTCGATTTCCGTATAATGAGATTTTTTCATAAAAATATTAACCGCTATTGTATCTATGGATCGAATATAAATTATAAATCTCAAAATATTGAGCCATCGTCTTTGTCCCTGTCAACCTCCTGCAAACAAAAAAATATCGCCAATTAGTCTTATATTCAAAACAATGATCAAGGATTTGACTTAATCAAACAAGTTAATAGGTCTAGTAGGCCTATGCTGAAGACTCGCATTGTGAGAATGTTTTTTCAAGGTCGGGACAACACATACAAATCCTATCTCAAGTTGGTTCTTCATGATAAAACTGTAAGCCAAATTATTTTTACTTCTTTTTTTTTAATTTCGAACTATGAAATGTATATTTTCTACTTTTTTAATTTTATTTTTTAAATTTAAAATTTGGCTTCTTTCTTTTTATCGTGTATGTATTCAAATATTTAAATTATTTATATTTTTGAAAAAATTAATTTTTTATTGATTACTTTTTATGTTTAGGAAAATCGCATTGTGGCATGGCTACGGGCAATCAACTTGGTTGCGTTTAGAGAGGAATTTTTAGGAGGACATAATCATTTGTATCAAGAATTACCATGTTGACAGCAATCTAGGAAAGTACCGTTCAACATCTGGTGATTTTAAGATCATGCTACACAGGAGCAATTATATGTTGTTTCGTGTAACTAATAGAAGGGGTTGAAGATATTAGTTTGTGAGGATGACGAGTCGCCCAATAATCAAACTCATAATATTGTGTACAAGTAGGTCTTTCATAATATATGACTGTTTCATTTTGGAATACTATTTTTTGTACAATTTTCCTGCGTATTATAAAACTTTTATTGAATATTACATCTTATAATATAATATTTTCCAAATAAATATATCTCATGCCTAGCACAAGTCACGTACTATATATATCCCGTGTATTTTTTTTATTCATTTATATAATTGTGAGGTTGGATAAATAGCCTTAAAATTGAGCACCACGTGCATCGCACGGGCTCTGTACTAGTACTATGTAATGAAAATATATTTTAAAAGAATTTCACTATGGATAGAAATTAAAATAAAAAATAATAAAAAATAATAATAGTTAACAATAATGTAAAAATAAATCACAGTTGAAATTCTAAAGAATAGTATATGGCCAGTAGTATAATTATTTAATGTATCTGGTCATTCTCCTAAATGGTAGATTATACTAATTTGAAGAATAATGGTTTTTTTTTTTTATATATGTTGTGAAATAAAGATGAAGAAACAATTACTTAACATGTTACAATTTTCTATAAATATTTTAGGATGAAAAGTCAATATTTGTGAAATAAATAATATGCTTAGAATTTAAAATATGTTTTCATGTCTATCTTGACAATAAAATAACCAATATGAATCACGGGAAATTAAAAATTTTGTAGTTTATTATAATGGATATCAATGAACTTTTTGCAGAGTTTCATAAAATTATTAAGGAAAAAAAATCTTTTTGATCATACTTGATTTGATTTGATTTGGAATTTTTTATATGGAAACAATTAAGGGAAAAAAAAATTTTCACCCCAATACAAAGATACAATAAGTTTTTCACACCGTTCAATAAAAAGCTAAGTTTTTCACCCCAGAAAGTGTGAAGATTATGCGAAAACTGTCGCATATTCATCGCATAACTGTCACATATGCGAAGGTTATGCGAAAAGCTGTCGTATAACTATCACATATCAATTGCATAACTGTCGCATATTTCATCGCACAATGTTTTCGCACTTTAACTCTTTTCTACTTCAAAAAGTGCGAAGGATATGCGAATGCCGTTGCACTTTCAAATTTTGCACAATGTCATCGCGCAATTGTCGCATATCCATCGCACAATGCTTTTCGCACTTTCTGGGGTGAAAAACTTAGTTTTTTATTGGACAGTGTGAAAAACTTAACAAGACTTCAAAACAGAGTGAAAATGGCTATTTTCACAACAATTAATGCATATATTTTAGAAGTTTCCAAATAAGTGATGCATTTAATGTTTCAAGATTTTTTGGCTATTATTTTTAATAAATGGTTATTCTCTTTATATAAATATATAAGTTCATCTTGTGCTTTACTAAGCCATGGCCATGGGTTTTTCTTCGTAGAATTCCTAGAAAAACCGAGTCTCATGTATCAATAATCGATCGCATGCATTATCAGAACCTAAAATCTAATGAAAACATTTCATACCGAAAAGCTTGGAAGTTCAAAATCTCGAATGGTGAATATCATTTCGAAACCCGAATATAATTTTGCAATAATCACTGCAATTTTATCCCACAAATTTCTTGCGTACTCCCATTTTTGCTTCATTTTTTTGGTAATTAAATCCTAATAGAGTAAGGTCATCCAACTATCAACTTCCAAAAATAGTTAAAGGGCCATGAATTTCTTAGCTTGCAGCAGAAAAATGGCCCTTAGTGTTCAAATATATCAAATTATTTGCAGGGATCAAATTCATCAGAGGTGTCAGGGGTCGTCATTATTCTTGCCAGTACAATTATGGCCCATGTTGTCTACTAGCAAAAGAATGCAATGTTAGTCAAAGTGATTGAGATATATCAAGTAATGTTAGAATCAAACCAATCAAATTCAGTAGCCACCATCTAACAACACATTAATTGGATGTTACTGCTTCCAATATTAAAATGACCTGAAAATTACCTCCCATAATATCCACCAAACATTTTCCACTCCAAAAATAACCGAACCGAACTGAATTACATGATGCAGCTCGACTTTTGGTTTTTCTATGCATTTGGGTTCGGTCCAGGCTAAAGCTGCACCGAACCGCAAATAACTGAAAACCAAACTTGCAAAAGAAAAAATAACCAAACAACACACAATACATAAACGAAGACAAATTGAACGGCACAACTGGGCTCCGTTCATTTTTTTTTTTTTTTTTTCGCTCACCCTTGGTTTAGTCGTTTCAATACTTAAGACAGTAAACTATATGTTTATGTACTTCCCATGCCGTTCTCATTTTTCTTTCTCCCAATCACCGACTAATAAGCACATATCACTTCATCACCCAAAAACACATTTTTCTTTTTTTTTTGAATAAACCACTCATTCACACCAAACATCAAACATCTCAAAGACCTTACAAAGATTGCCACACATCCCCAATCCCCAAATATACCCTACAACAACACTTTGGAGACTGGGACATTAACTTATCACTAGGAACATTTACATTCAAACACGCACTAATGTCATCACAGACGAGCACGCCATTGTTGACGGAACTAAAGGGCATGTGCCATAAATGTGTCCCTGTAATATGTCAAGATACATATGGACAAATAGAGGGCTACCATTTCCTTTTCCTTTCTCACAGGTAAAAGAGCACTCACAGTAAAAAGGAAAATTAAAGGATTAGTGAAAATGAGAGAAAACCATGGATAGAGAATCATGAATGGAAAATGAAGTGCAACTAAGAACATTGGAGTAATTTTTGTTTCTTCCAGCAGCTTAGCCAATGATTGTTCTTTCTTTTCATTTCAAAAAATTCCAACAAGAGGAGGAAAAATGGGTATATCTCAAAACTACAAGACGTAAAATCACTAGCTTGTAGCTCAAATTGGTATATCCTACCTAGGCTAGCATAAAGGGTGTTTGTTACATTGGTTGGTACAAGACTCGACCCACAACATTAAAAAATGCTTAGAACGGAAAAAATTATAATAATAACAACAAAAAGTTTCAGGATTCAAGCTTTGCCCTCACTTCATCCCAACATCAACAAAAAGATCCTCCAAAATCACGTCATTTATTTGATTGCATTTCTATTACAACATTAAACAAAAATGGTCAAATATCAAGGGATCGCTGAAACCTAAACATACCGATTGTAAGGTTAGTAAGCAAGACCACCTTCCTTTCTCTGGCAAGCTATGATACATATTATGTTAGTATTACTTACAGTGCAATTTTGATCAAAAAAATCTAATCTCGAAAGAATGTTGTCAAGTAGTGACTAGCGAGACTCCCGCGACTTGAACTTGCGACAAATTTCTTTGGGGTAAAGTTGTTGTACGTGGCACTTTACAAACAGAGCAGACTGTAGAAAATAAGAGGTATGAAGGCATTGTCAAGCTGGGCCGTGTAGGCCTCTAACAGGCCACTGGTGGTCACTGCCAAAATCAACGAAAACCATTGCTGCAAAACACAGAGTCAAGATATGATTTCTCTGAATTCATGAAGATGAAAACCATTACATGGAAAATAGCCAAGTAAACGTTCAAGCACACATAGTGAAAGAGAATGACTTGTGGGTGATGGCTAAGGAAGGCTTCATTTGATCACATAATATGAATATTTCTAATTTATCCTCAATGAGCACATTTTAACAATTGGATGTTACCTTACCTAAACCTATTTTATTAGATTTTAAATTAAAAAAAAATGTTAATAATTGGATTAAATAAATAGCACGAATTGCCCTAAACAAATTGGATATTAATGTCGATGATTTGTTTTCTAAACTGCAAATACAATTTAGAATTTTATGCCCTGCAAATGAGATCTCGAATTTTGGTTTTAGAAACATAATAACAATTCTGCTTCTCTGAATGCTAGAAGATCTATTACTTATAAATATTATTCACAAGTTATCCTTAGATGTTTTTAGATGTAGCACATTTTCAATACTTTTGATGTTCTTATATTTTATATTTTATTGAAAACCTTCATTCATTTTGTTATGGGCACCCAAAATGTAAGGATCGACCCTAGCTTTCACTGCTATTATCCAATGCAACTAAGTGGACCCACAACTGGCAAGTGTTAAATCAAAGCAATCAAAGGTGGTAGATTGTATCTGTAAGATCCATACCATAGTGAAAATGTAACCAGTAGCTGCTAGAAGCGGAAGTAGAAGAAAGCATGCAGCGAGAACTGAGGTTATGCCAGCAGCAGTACCTTCAATTGTTTTCTCTGGAGAACACAAAAACCGCCACAGCTAAGAGATAAAATAATGAGTTGAACGGAAAGAAAAATGAAAGGAAATGATGAAAAAACAAGTACTTCCGGTTTTACTCCAGCGAAGAACTCCGTACTTGTGGCCAACCATTGATGCCTGATACAAACACAATAAGTGTTGAGGACTATCCTTTACTATATCACTTACTGCCACCAGATCAAAGACAGAAGCCCAGACTCCAGAAAGGGAAACAAGTGTAGAATATCATAGAAAAGCATCAGTTTACATCTCAATTTGTGAAAGACGGGTCAAGAGTTCTAGCACAAGTGAATCAACGGCTACAAAAGACTGCATATTTACCATAGTATCCCCAATACCAAGACTCAGAATACCAGCAAAAGGGGCAAGCGGTCGATCTGTGAAACCCGAAGACAGCCAGATTGGAATTGCACATCCCAGTAACAGAGAAAAATGGCTGAAAAGTGAATAGAAGTGAAGAAACTAATCCATCAATGTATTATGTCAACCCATAATAATAAGCAACAAGGGTAAAAAACTACACACCTGACAACCAGAAGGTCCGAATCTCGGTGATCTGTAAAAGCATTCATGAATTGATGGACCAGATGACCTAAAGGCCAGATTTTCCATATCTACACAGTGATTAGTAAGTTATTTTAATTTCATGATCAATCATGATATATAGAAGATAATAAGCCATGCACAGCATCTTTGGCACAAAAGCTGGATGGGTGGCTTAGATATAGAGAAAACCCCGCAAACAGAGAGCTTATTATGCTGAGCACCGCAAATCTAGAAGTAAGAGTTCAGCAGGTTTCACATAATGGTGGTAAGAGTTCAACATGTTTCATATAATGGTATGAGGGAAGATAAATATAATAATTCAAATTGAGAAAAGCAGTTTCAGAGCTTACTCGTATAATTTCCAATAAAAGAAAAACTGCCAGAGCTGCACCAAAAGCAAGATCAAGAAACTTCGGCTGAAACGAATACAAAACATGCCAAATACGGAGAAGGTTAATTTTTACACAGTAAGTGACCTTTTAATTTATTCGTTGCACCCACAATGCACCTGGAATATAAGGGCGGGAACAAAAATGGACACAGCCATCAGATGATAGTATTTGCGAAGAAGTATCCTTTCTGTCTTACTATTCTTTGATATGTCGTAAAATCGTCTAACACACCAAGATATGATAACCAGCCAATAGATGCATAGAGTAAGCCTTTTCTGTGGTTCTGATAAAACAAACTCAACAACCCTGATGAACAAAGAAAATATTAAAAGCAACGTTATAGAAACACACACACAAAAAGAGAGGAGAGAAAAAAAATCACCTGCTAAAATATATGAAGAGAAAATAGTATCTTGCCACTTAGAATTTCCAGGTTACAAAATTAATTCAATCGATTGTTCCAATTACTTAACGATCCATAGATTATGAATCTTTCCTCATGAGAACATATTAAAAATTTACAACTAATTCTACCTTCAGGATGGCCCAGGAGAACATTCTTGGATTACTTATCATTTTCTGAATAACTCTTTTTCCATTTCTAGACTGAACGGTTCGTGAAAAGAGACAACCACTACTGACGCAAAAACTTTGACAGACAGATTACCACAATAAATGCTTCAAGAACTGTGAAACAAGAATGTTTCTCAAGAACTACAATTCCAATCCCTCCAAAGTTGCAAGAAGCAATTTTCATATACAGATTTACCTTACATAAAAATGTCATAAAACGCAATGTTATCTTCATGTTTCCAGAAATCTAATAACTTTTTGAGTGGTAAAGTTTTCAATAGAATCTACAGATTATTACGCTTCTCTTCAACCACTCCAAATTCTTGTGATTTTGTAACACTTGTTCGGCCCCAAAATGAGATGAATAATGAAACCCACAACTTTCTAGAGAAATTTCAAACGATCTACCCAGACCATCTTCAGTTTGTCCGAACAAACATATTCAAAGGAATTAAAAAAAAAAAAAAAAAAAAAAAAAAAAAAAAAAAA